TCTTTCTATGGAATGACTTGATACCCTTTGAAATCATTAGATGTTCCCTATGTCTCTAATCTAGTGGGCAACCTCCTTTAATTAAGTTCTACTGCACCCTTTCTATGCTAACTTTGTAACCACCTGCAGCTAGGGCCACATGGGTACTACATCAGCCTCTTCAGTTCCCAGCTTTTCTACCTCCTACGGGGCAGCATAGGATTATTTACCTAGTTTGCTTGGTCCATCATCCACCTGAAGAAAGTGAAGTAATGCACAATAGTTGCATACTTTTTACTCAGTGGGTGATTAAGCCTTATTCTATAGTTGCATAGAGTTTTCATACAAAATCATTAGACAACTATTGGTTATTCACTTAATTAGGCATTATATTTGGACCACAATTTCAAGATTTGCTTCAAAGATTTCCTCTATGTATTGAATTCCTTAGCTTCTCTAATAGCACAAATGCTTTGTTATGCATTATTCATCTCTTCATTGATTCTTACCGTCTAAAATAAACAGCACAATATAAACTCTTTGATTTTTTTTTTAAGGCTAGGCTGCAAAGGCAAAAAAAATCTCAAACTGAAGTATTCTGTTACTGATGTTTTTCCCTAACTCGAATCTTATCTAACAGATGCTTGAATATTACTCTTTTCATTTTAGGTTTCCCTATTAAATATAAAACAGTTTATCTTGAACACTGTACTAAGTGTTACAATCTTAACTCTAAGTACCATCCAGCAGACCTTAACCTTGTTATCATTCCAAGTCATATATGTTACCTCAGTGTTCTGCAAACTATGTAATCCCAGGATCTTTTAAACTACAGCACTTTGTTAATTAATTGTACATCCCCATGGAGGCCACAGAACAGAACATAGGTGTAACTGAAGCCTGTAATTATGTACACATCCTGAGCGATTCGTGATTGCAAACAACAGCACGACCATTTTCTGTGTGTTAAGGGAGAATCAGATACTTTATGAAAGAGAGAGGGGAGTCTTTGCCATAAGTAAAGCAGTGGATCTAGCTTTCTTGTTTGGTGCTTTACAAAAGCTTATCAGAAAGATGTCTCCATTTTGTTCATTCCCCTATTACTACTTCTACCCTTTTACTGTACACAGATGTGTAAAAAAATAGAGATCATCACCTGTGATTTTGGACAAAACTGGTACCACTTTCCAGAAGGTGAGTTTTTTTTTTTTTTTTTACAACACCTTGGTAAACGGAGAGTGGACAGAGTAAATGAAGCTATCTGAGGAGGAAACAAGGATCCCTCTTGAGAAAAAAAACCTAAATATTCATTAAACCAGCCTAGAAACAAAACACCATCATAAAACCCCAGGTAGCCCAGATGAACATCTTCTAGACAAAAAAAAAAAAAAAAAAACTTACAAAATCAATTAGCAATTCATTTTTTTAATTAAGTGGACTCACACAAACAACAGAATACTTTAGGAAATATAGGCACCAATTGCCATAGAAGGGTATCCTACAATACAGACAACAGCCATCAGTTTTTTACTTTCCTAGCCTGTCTTTTCTGCAGCAGTGGCAACACAAAGTCCAATATGCCTAAACACAAATGATCTAACCTTTTCTTTTCAAACAGGAGGAGGAAATTACTAGCTGCTTAAGATGCTCAGAGTAGTCATTTTGCAAATGGTGCTATGAAGCTGATCGAAAGGGGATTCGTTGGAGCAAAATTGCCCTATTTCAAATCATTATCCTGTAATAACAATCTGCAGCATGGCTGTGCTTCGTTAGGAGGGAGAGTGTGCTACATCCAGCATATGCCTCAGTACATGCATGTTTCAGAAAGAAGCACCCTCCTTGGCTGCTAATGCTGGAAGGCAGCCTATTAGCCAGGCTGAGCCTTTTAGATCCTAATTCCAGGGCAGGAAGATAGGACTCGCTTCATTGGCTGTAGCTATTTGCCATTTCCCATTACTACCCTTGTGATTAAGCCAGGCTCTCAGCCCTTAAATCCTTCTCTAAAATGGAGAAGAGGTTTTGTTCAGCAACATTAGGAAAACAGTTTTTGGTACCAGACCAAGTGCATGTTTAAGTTTTAGCTTTTCAAAAGCTATCTTCATTAACTTAAAGAAATCTCTTTAATTTTGTTTAAGAGAGAAAGCATAGTACACTGGGCTGCAACTTATCAGAGCTGTAGGTGGAGAATAATGTCCTTTCTGGCAGCTGAAATTCATGCCCTCTGGTATTCACTTGTTTGCAACAGCAGAAAGCTGGTCCCGGATCCTTCCCAGACCTTCCAACATAGTGTCCAGGGTTTCTTTACTCAGTTCCACAGTCACTGCAGAAACAACAGGATTATTTCCACATAAGGCAGCATCTTCCTGAATCTGAAAATAGAATGCAGGTGTTAGTTGTATGAAAAAAAAATCCATCCACATGTTTTTTCCACTGCCACTAAAGTCAGTGCTTAAGGGATGCATTGACGAAAGTGTTCCAAATCTGGCACCCAGCTCCATTCTGAAAGACCAGGGCAAGTTTCCTAAGACACTTGCCTCACCAGTGAAGTGCACTCCTGCTGACTGAACGTAAGGAAGCACATGCAGCAATGAGTAAGAGAGAATTCTGGAGTCTTATGGTAGGAAGCTACATCCCTATCAAAAGTATCTCAGCAGATACCCCATTGGATACTTCAACCCATTCCACACATGCAAATCTTCCTCCTTCTCTTAAGCACACCTATTTAATTGTATTAATTCAGAGGAACCGAGAATTGCAAGGAATATGAGAAGTCTGGTTATGCCCTCCAAATGATAGATGTGACCAGTGAAGAAAGTTACTAATACTCAAAAGCCATCCCCTAACTAACAGAATCTTTTAGTACCTTCAACTGTAGCAGGCAAGTAGGGACTGCCATTCTGCTGATGTTGTCTGACGAGGTCTTGATGTCCACCCTCCAGTCCATGTCAACTAGGCGAGGCAGGGAGACTGAGAGATTGAAAACAAGGGGTGAGTTAGGCCCAGATTCTCCACTAGTAGGATTCTGCTGTGAAAACTGTAATTTAATAATGAATTTTTATTCCATTTTTGCCATGCAATAAGCCAATCTGTGAAGACCTCCTTGTGACACTGGAAGGACAAACAAGGTTCTCCTATCATCATACGTGAGCATGGCACAGGGCAAGATGAGCACTGTTAAGTTCACAAAGTGGCTGGGAGAACAAAGTCTTCTCCCCATCTTCATCACTTGCTTTGCCTTGCTCCCTGAGATTCACTGTGAGTTGCTCTAGGACTTACTGTGCTTATTGCTCTGTTCTGTAACCAGGGAAGAAACTCATAGGGATGCACTTAATAGCAAGCAGGTCTGACTTGGCTGCCCCACCAAGCAGGCTGTGCAGCTATCTCTTGCAGACAGAAGAGAGAGGGTTCCCCTTCATGATGCTGTGTACATAATACACCTCTGACTCCTGAGCAGTCCCTAAGCATCATACAGACTGGCACAAAAGCTGTGGCTAAGGCTCTTCCAAAACACCTTGGCACCATCAAGCCTCACTACACGTGCTCTTTATCAGCTCCTAGGAGCATATGTTTTTCAACAATGTTTTTCACCTTCCAGTGAGAGATGATAAAAGAAACATGAAGATACCTACCACCGTTTTCTTCCAGTGAGAGAAACATGAAGATACCTACCACCGTTTCATGTGAGTATTCAGTTGGGGGGGGCATACTGATACCTCACGTTTGAGCAACAAATAAACATTCCTACTCTCAAAGAAAATACAGGAAAGTTGAAATATTTATATTCTCATCTCAGATTTACAGCCATCTTCTATTAAAACCCCAACACCGAAAAAAGCGTAATTACTCATGCAACTGGATTACAACCACAGATATTAAAAGGTAATGCTTGAGCTCCTGACTGCCCAGTGGAAAGATGCACAAAACATATTTTATCACTGGAATCCATGAATTTGGAAAATGTCGGTAAGGACAAATGCCTTATTTGGAAACATATATATAAAAAGAAATGTTGTAAAGCACAGCTTAATAGAGTACACAATGTCATTTTCCGTTTTAGAATTGTTACATTTATAAGAAATAGAGCATCTGTTGCACCTTTTGCAACTCCATTCGCTTTTAAGCGATGAGCTGCTCTTCTGATGTTTGGAAGTGCAGTATCCGGTTTCCTAGGGAAGAGAGTAAACCCTCGCTGGAAAAGAAGTCCACACCAAGGACACAGAAACATTAACAAATCCTTTGCATTTGAGAAAGGAATTTGCAGCATTACATATTTAATTATTTACACTATGTCAGAACTGATGGCTACAAGATGCTTAAGGAAATATTGTTCCTATTTATTGTCAGTCAGGGACTTTCAAATGAGTCAGAAAAATGTACGTCCAATCCCATAAAAGATCAATAGAGAGGTGGCTATTTATTCTTAGATCCAGTTTCAAATCTCAGCTGTATTGCTTGGCAGGTTTGCATCTGCTTGGTTTGAAGATATCACACTGACTGCATTTGTCAAAGCTTTAACTGCTATAAACCAGCATTGATTATTTGCTACCTACTTAAGAACAGCAGAGTAGGGTGGGTAAAGAAACAGAGACTTAAAAGTTCAGTGGAGTGCTAAGTGCTTTCCCATCAGGCAACTGCAGCCCACCTGGATTCTATCTATCACAAGGTGCCTCGCTTCCTTTCCAAGAGCTGATCCCATCTGATAGTTATCCTTCCTATTGGCTCTAGATGCTCAGTTGCTGACTAATGATGCAGACAGAAATTTCTTTGGTATCTGGGGAAAAGTTCTCCGTCCTCTGCTGTGCAAAACTCCAGCGGGCAAGGCAGAATTGGCTGCCTTGCTCTTGCATTTGGACCAAATTCCAACTTATAGTCCACCAGGGCCAGCACTTGGCAGCATTTGCAACAACATAAAATGCATCTGTTTAGTCTTGGATGTTAATTTACAAAGATTCATTGCTGGTGACTTGGGAGGGGCAGGAAACCATCCACATTTTTATGTTAGTATCAATTAATCAGTTGGAACATCTGTTTTTAAAGTCACTGTCACAGCCCCCTATGTAGTATATATGGCAGAAGTTTAATGGATGAAATACTAAAATGCTCCATCATTTCCCAGAAGCAATCTTATTCCACCAGGGTTAGGTATTTGCCCAAAGAGGATTAGGACATGAGTTTCGGAGCAGAGTTCCTGGGTGGTGTTCAAAGAGCCACACATGCAGCCTTGCGACTAAGAAGACCTAGACAGTGTGTCATGCTTGCTCTCCTTTCCTCTAAGGCACGATAACATTAGGGATACAGGAAAAAGCATTACGTCTCTTGGTAACACTGGAACTACATTTAACGTAAACAACTACTGAACTGCTTTAGCATTATGCAAGTTTCCTCCCCCACCCTATCTCTTCACCATTTATACTCCAGGGATTTTAGAGGGAAAGTAGTTTTGCTAGTCTTTTGTGCCACTGTGTTTCCCTGTTGAGTATTATCTCCTCTGCTGACTACAGAAGAGGCAAAGAGGATCTATGCAGACTTCAAAGTACTCTCTTATGAATTAACTCTCTTGTAAGCCCGTAGGTATTACAAGGGTAACGAAAACCTCCAAAGCAAGGGAGGGGAAAAAAAAAAAAAAAAAGTGGTGTAGCTGCCTGGAATGCTTAACTGGGAATTAAGTCCCTGCCAGTGATGCTACCGTTAAAGTTAGCATTGCATAATTAGCTCACACATTAGAATGCATGATGAATACATACTGTGTACTTCCTGATGGCTGTAGAAAAGAGTACACAGAGCTGTCTAGATGTGCCCAAATGAGATATTCTTTAATACATGTGTATTCTTTATAGCATATAGTTGTTGAATACAGACATCACTTACTGATCTCAACCAGAAGTCAGAGTTCTTCACTTCCAAAAGTTTGGCAAATACTTGCTATTTTCATGCTGCATTCTACAATGTAGCAAAAGGCTGAGTACTAAATGAAATTACTGAGGATTGAAAACAATTTAACACAGCAGAACGGACCTCAGTACAAGCTTGTTGGCCTTTTCTAAGCTCTCTGATGCCACCATCATAGAGCTTCGTCTAAGATATAGGTGGGCATCTCTGTGCTATGCTGCAGCTACACATGCTGCAGTGCGTGCTTCTAAACTCAAACCTCTCAAACATTAATTGCATCAAAACAAGAGTACTACTTACTCTGACTTGCTTGTGCTTCATTTCTCCAAGCAGACCTATAAAAAGAGTGGAGAAGAAAGAAACAAATAGTGTCAACAGTGCTTAGAAAAGAAAAGT